TGGGCAATCCTACTTCCGTAGTGATACTGCCTCGGAAACCCAAGGAGGGGTCGCTATGAGTCGGGGCCGACTCGACGGCACACGACAACAACAACAACAATGGGTCAGAACTTATAGATTGAAAACACTGTTTTTTCTAACATTAACAGTCCCTGTTAACAACAACAACAGTCCCTGATCCTAGGATCCTCTTCCATAAATACATCTTCTCCTCTTCTCTGAATTCTAGCTGAAGATTTTCCCTCTTCCTGTAATCCCTCTTCCCTAATCCAGCCTCTTGAAATGCAATGCATCTTTTAAGGCCCTTAAGGCTAGAAGAAATCTGACTTCTTTCCACATCTACAGTATTACTGTACTTGTCATTGTTCACAAATGTCTTGCATAGTATTGGTGTGTTGATGCAATTTCTTATCTCTGGGTTGAGCTGTAAGTCCTTGAGAACAGGAATCATGACTTCTATGTCTCTTGATCCTTCTAAGCATTTAGCACAGTGTCTGGTATGTGACAGTCACTAAAGCTTGAAAACCTTCTCTCAATCTTTCTCACAGTTATTCTTTGTTCAACTGGTCTTCTATTTAATCAACACCTCTAATTTCTTGACCCTTCTACTCTCTCCCTAGCTATCAACAACCTGTCTATCTTCACTTCCTTCCTCCAGATAAGATTCAGGTTAGAAGCCACTGACTATCACTTTAACCACTCACTTGACAATCTCTCAACTCTGTTGCCCAACTGTCTTTCCCTCTCACATGTCTGGCAAAACCCCAATTCTGGATTAATACAATTGTCTACTTTCTCTGGTTCTCTATTCAAATTGCTAAGCACTGCCATAAAAAGAAATCCCATGATCATGCAGATAAATGAATCAGCCCTTATCTGGGTCCTTACCACATTAATAGACATTCCTTTTTTGTTTCCCCAATTAGCACTCTCCCATTCTCCATATGGTTATTTTAATTATTTTCTCACTCTCGTCAAACCCCTCTCTCTCAAATGTTACTTTCCCCTTTGCCTCCAAGATGGCATGAGGTCACCCTACCATGTGTTCCCACAGAATTCATACTTAACATTGTCATAATCATTGCTCTGTTTCTCATGGACTCCTTAATTGTTCATATCTCCTACTGGACTTATTTTTCAGTAAGTTTATCTCTTACTAAACTTACTGAAAAAAGAAACACAGCTTGCTCTTTATTGAAAGCGTGGAACTGAATATAGTACCAAGTACTCAACAAATACTTAACCCAATTTCCATTGTCAATAAATGAATACATAAATACATAAATATTTGTTAAATGAATGTATAAATAAATAATCTTTAGTGAAAAAATGCTGAAACTTGAACTATAACTTTTGGAAGCCTAAGAGATACATGTATGGGAAGAGGCAGAAAACCGTAAGATCTGGAAAAACAAGTAAGTCCATTGGGTTCTGGCTCTGAGAGGTTTTACTATACATATAAATAAAATATTTGTTAAATGAATGAATATATCATATACAAATCTCATAACTATTTTAGGAGCCAATTAATTAATCAATGTCCCTAAAACCTTGGAGGATGAAATATATGAAACATAAATTATTTCTAAAATTTATAATGGATGTATAAATACAGTTAGTTAAGAGCTTATTATTATTTCTATCCCAGTGGTTGGAAAAATGGAAGTGATCCTGTATGTATAATAGGAATTGATAGAACAGACTAAAGGATAACCGATAAAGATCCAACAAAAGTAGTTTGTTTGCTAATTCTAGTGGGCAACTATATCATGCAAAGTTTATATCACAGTAGTCTATCATGAAGATAGTATTTATTTTATGAGACCTAGCTTTACTTCTCTCCTTTAGATGTAATTCTCTTTAATTGGTTTATACTTCTAAAGACACATTTGCACGATGGTAATGACTAACATGCAAAATTAGGCTGTCCAGAGAACAACTAGACATTGTTCTGTATTTTTTTTTAAAAAACTTTTCTCTAGAATATCTTATTTAGCATTATGGAACTTTGTGATGGCAATCTGTTTCAAAATTCTCCCGCTGTGGCTAAGGTAGAAGAGAGTTCTGAGCCCTAAATACTCACTCTGACATTGTGACGATGAAGCCCTCCTGGGTGCTGAGACATATACTGGGCCAGATCTGTGTGCTAAACAAACGGCAGAGAAAGAGAAGACATAGTGAAGTCAGTCATTTGCTTGGACAGTCATGCCAAAGCAGAACACAGACTCGAGTGTAAGAAGGTATTATGAATTTTTTACAACAAGGTACGAAAATAAAGCCAGGTTTTCTGCGACTACTGCTGAGGACAATGTGTGTTTCTTAAAAGAAAGCCTGTTTCTGGGCACAGAGATGCTCATTTTGAATGGCTGCCTCTGAACAGAATGACACAGGGATTTTTCACTTTCCTACTGTCCTTGGTGGCAAGTCAAGTACACAGCACTTTATGATATCTTTCTGCTTTACTGAGTGTTTTTTGTCTTCTCAAAAATACCAAATGAATTGTTCTTTAGTAAGCTTGTACACAATTTAAAAAACAAAAATAAATGACCCTGTGATTTATCTTTTCATTGCTAATGAAAAAGATGTTGGGGCATGCTCAAACAGTGATTTAAAAATAGATTTTAAAATACAAGTCTTATTTAGGAGGCAAACTCAAAATATTATGTGTTATTGCTGATGAGGGAAAAGAGGATAGCAAAAGTAGTAGGTCAGGAAGCAGGACTAGAGTGGGTATTAAAACAATAAGGCTGTCGTAGTCATCACAATGGAAATTTCCATGATACCCTCCACATTGTAATGAAAGTTTTATCATGCCATAAAATATTAACAGATTCATTATACAAGCACCACACATTTTCCTTATGCTTTGTAAAATGCTGGATCAACTCACCATGTATTCAAACACGAAAGTCAGTGTCTCTTTGGTGTGAATGATGTCATGCAGAAGCACAATATTGGCATGTTTTAAACCCTTCAGGAGAGAAGCTAGAGACATTAAACAAAATATCAAATCAATCATTGATAATGAAAGTGCTACTATAAAGGTATAAAGAAGCATTTATTGCTTTAAGATTTCAAACCAAGTATTCTAGTTTTTACTGCTGGAAAAGAAATCTCTTGTGAAATAATATTTAAAATTACAAAATATCTTCACTATTTGTTAAATGGTAAGGCATTGCATTTATACAACTTTTTTCTTATAGGCTAGAAGTATTGCAAAAAATGTTTCCATTTATCCAATCAATTTTACCAAAGCACTCAGAGCACTTTGCAAATGCTCTCCTCTGGGAATCTTACTATCTTGGGTTCAAAAGTGCTATGGAGAGGGGGCCTTGACAGATACAGAGGGCACTGAAGGAGCAGGAAATGGGGTGTTCTTCTAAAGCAGGACTATGCAACATGTAACTATCATCCAAAATTCATTGTTACATGGGTGGGGGGATGGCTAACTGGGCAGATGTATGTGATTGCTGGGAAGCAGGGATAAGAGAATGGGATAAAGAATTGTTGAAACAATGGAGAGTAGAGGGAATTTTTAGAGTTGAAAATGTCTGTGGGAAAAAGAAGATGCAAACTTGAAAACAAGACAGGGCTTTGCTCCGGTTGGTAAGGGGAATGAGAGTGGAGAAGCCTGAGGACTATATATTTCTTCTGTAGTAACAGGTTATTATTAAATGTATCCTAGGAGTCCACTCCTTGGAAGGAAGGTTGGGCATCTACTTCCATAGTGATCCTGCCTCGGCAACCCAAGGAGGGGTCGCTATGAGTTGGGTCTGACTCGATGGCAAATAACAACAACAGGAGTCCCTGGGCGGCACATATAGTTAAATGTTAAACTACTAACTGAAAAGTTGGCAGTTGAACCCACTCAGACACCTCAGAAGAAAGGCTTGGCAATCAGCTTCTGAAAAATCAGCCACTGAAAACTCTTATGGAGTGCAGTTCAAGTCTGTAACACACGTAACTGGGAAAAAACCAAAAACAACCCCACTGCCATCGAGTCAATTCTGACTCACAGCGAGCCCCATTGGTTTCCGAGGTGGTAAATCTTTATGGAAGTATATTGCCCAGTCTCGCTAGTCACTATAAATTCAGAATCCACTAGATGGCAACACCCTTAAAGGGGTAGGGGCAGGGGAAAGTTACCACAAAAAGCCAGTGAAAGGCTGGGAGGAATTTGAAAGGCTGTCTTTAGAGGTTATCCTTTCTCTTTATATGACTTGGATAGCTTAGACCCTACCCAGATCCCTGGCTTCAGCAGGGTGGAGACCAGAAAAGGCACAATTCATAAGGAGATGTTGAGTCAGTCCCAATTCAGGGACTCCTACATGAAAAAGTATCATCTATAAAACTGGTTGTCCTGTGTTGTTGACTTGATTTTGAAGCATAATGATTCCATGTGACAAAGGAGAATGGCCCCATAGGGTTTTCTAGGCTATAATTTTTTCAGGAGCAGATCACCAGGTCTTTCTTCTGCAGAGTAACTGGGTAGTTTGGAACTGCTAACCTTCCAATTGGCAGCCAAGCACTTAATCTTTACCCTACCAGGTCTCCTTCTGTAAGACTTAAAGGAAAAGAAAAGTTAAATATAAAGTCAAATAAATGTTCTGCAGGGTATGCTTGTACCACCTCTCCGCTGCTGTCGATAGTTGCCTCCCAGTTGATTGCAATTCTCTAGACCACTACTGGTCTGTCAGTTCATTGTGCTGTGGTGTCTTGTGTATTGTTGTGATGCTGGACGTTATGTCACTAGTATTTCAAATACCATGGTGGACTGGTTTTAGCAGAGCTTCCAGACTGAGACAGACTAGGAGGGAGGAGCTGGTGATTCACCTCTAGAACAATCGGCAGGTGAAAACCTCAGGAATAGCAGCTGAGTACGGTCTGCTATGCTGCCGGAAGTGAGCCTCTCAGCTTGGAAGGCACTCAGAATCTGACTGGGGAAGAGCTGCCTCCTCAAAGTAGTCAACCTCTATGACATGGATGGAGTAAAGTTTTTGAGACCTTCATGTGCTAAAATGCCGTGACTCAAAATGGGAAGGAACAGCTACAAACATCCATCAATAATAGGAACATGGAATGTAAAAAGTATGAATCTAGGAATATTGGAAGTTGTCAGAAATAAAATGGAACACATAAAGATCCATATCCTAGGCATTAGTGAGCTGGACTGGACTGGTATCGGACAATCATATTGTCTACTATGCCGAGAATGACAAATGGAAGAGGAATGGTGTCACATTCATTGTCAAAAAGATCATTTCGAGATCTATTTTGAAGTCCAATGCTGCCACTGATAGGATAATATCCATACACTTACATGGAAGGTCAGTCAATATGACTATTATTCAAATTTATGCACTAATCATTAATGCCAAAGATCAAGAAATTGAAGATTTTATCAACTTCTGCAATCTGACACCAAGAAGATGATTTGATAATTACTGATGATTGGAATGTAAAAGTTGGAAACAAACAAAGAAGAAAGATCGGTAATTGGAAAATAAGGTCTTCGTGATAGAAACAACTTAGGAAATCACACGACAGAATTTTGCAAGACCAACAGCATTTCAATTGCAAGCTCTGGGGTATAGGGCCTGAGGCACTTGGCTGCTAACCAGAAGGCCACTCCTCGGAAGACTGGGCAATCTACTTCCATAGAGATACCACCTAGGAAACCCAAGGAGGGGTCACTATGAGTTGAACTGATTTGATGGCAGT